TATAGAATTCACATGTTAAAATTGTGTTCACTTGAAAATCTCTTGTCCCCTCTACCGACCTGAGCTACAGTTTGTATCTAGTTTATAAAGTCTTTAAGGCAAAGATATGTCGGTGGGTGGTTGCACCATCGTGAATCTTCGAGGGATTCTGCTTATTGTGCTACGGAAAAGTCCTCCATCTTCAATCCAGGTGATAGTCGCTGGCCAAAGTTTGTCTTCTTAATCGCTAAATACACAACAGCAGTCTTCTCGATTGGCACTGCCAGATACTATTATCATCTGTTGCACTTGCTTTTTATTGGTTAGGTATGTTAGTTTTATTCGTACGACCCTCTTCCTCTAGACCTTTATTATAAATGTCCGCCGCCAGAATGTATACATTTGGATATTTATATACGAAACTCGATTCTTGTTCAGATAGATAGGTTGCCAGGCTTTTGGTGTAGCTGAAAATAGATTGAAGCAAGCTAGCGGGAATAACATGGGAGCTGACTGTTATGGTTTGGGAATGACTGTTTTCCAATGTTCAGTCTATCAGTGTCGGTAGAGGTGACTGTTGCTGAGGTTTCGGAGGCTAAATCTTGGTATCTTGATTTGAGTGGTTGGCCCTTGCTTTTTGTTGTCGGATAGACGGTTCTTCTTTCGCCAGATTCGTAGAGTTCGATGTTGACTGCACAGCGTAGGTTCCTTTAGGAACTCAGCAGCTTGGAGGTCTTTTCCTGCGCCACCTTGACCCTCATATTGACCGAGTCCGCCTAGAGGGGGAGAAGGTAATACTTTTGCTTAGCTTGAACTGAACTCATCCAAAAATCTGCGTCTTTCTCTGGCATTGCGCACAAAAACATCAGACAGCTCGTTATTCGTTTCTACTGTCATCCGCTTTCCATGAAAAGAAGTAAAGTATTAGGCTAAAACCGAACTAGGCATCTCTGTTTTTTAGTGGGTATTAATGTCAAATACGAATTAGCGATTATCTAGATATGAATAGTCTCATTAATTTTATCTCCTATGTTTTAATGTGTACGTTCCTTTGTTGCACGTTGAATCATGTGCATAATTTCAGGGTCACGCTGTGTTCTTTAAGCTTATGAAAGGAATCAATCTACTCGAACAGATAGTCGAAAAATACTTCAGTCTATAGGTCAATACATGCCTATATTCACATAACGATTATGGAATCAGTAGGAGATCCAAAAAGATGTACAACAAGGGATATCTACACCGCGGTTATTTATATTGTTAGCAATTAGTAGTAGTGGTAATATTTCAATTGGGAGTGACGAAGCGCAACACCTCCACTACGTCGTCAACTGCAGAAGAACTTCAGAGAAAAATAAAACGTCGTGGGCGAGCCGGTGTTGGCTCACCTGCCCATACGAAGCCATCGTCGAACGTATTGCACGAAATACATAAAGATAATGGTGTTGACGAAAAACCAGATACCAGACACATGACGCCAGGTTAGTGGAATCAATTGCTAATTAAAATCATTGTAGCAAGCTCATCATTCATGTCATTAATGATAACAACAATATATATATTAGCGGAATTAGCAGTCCATTATCAAGTTGATTGGTTAGTCGGGTCTTCATCAGTCATTGCAGTTAATTAGTACATTATAATAACAGTAGCAGCATGAAAAATATATACAATTCTACCTTAATTGTTGGTAAACGATTACCGAAGTTTATGATCATAAATGTGTGATCATAATGTATACAGTTACCATGTACAATGCGAGAGAACCAGCATCTCATATAGTAGTCCACATATTAGACAAGAGTCGAATATAAAGATAGAGCATATATATATATATATATATATATCTGTGCGACTTTGGGTCACAGACGTTTCTCAGGTGGTTACAATGGCATGTGCCCGCACATGTAATAAACAGCTACACAATACAGTCACAATCAGTGAGTATAATAATCAAATTATTACAAATGATAAATGTGTAGGTAGCAAACAGCTGCACACGATGATTAAGAGATAGTCTGAACACCGATAGGCTTATGTGACAGAGGACCATCAACATATCTAGTGTAGCAATGTACATTTATACATATATGAATATAATGCACACGTAACTATATATATATATGTATGAAGGGTGGCAGACGAAAATTGAGTACGATGCAGCAGCCGGTACAATGACCGCTATTGTTGGCTGTAATTCAATGTCACTAGGTCCGTTGGCCTAGTACAACCTTTTAACATTGAAAATACGAAAACGCGTTCGGGATAGTGACATCATCCCAGTCAGTCACATTAGTGAAAACTAGTTAACCACATAATGCTACTATAAAGTTATAAATACCTGACGATTAGTTGAGGAGTACGATGGAAACAGTTTAGTCTTCTAGATAGAAAAAAGCTCTTTGTGTAGAAATGAAAAGGAATAGTACATCAACAAAAGGCAAAACGTACGAAAACAAGCCAACAGGTAAGCAGGTTTAATCAGCTAGAAATGCTCTCACATGCAGCCTATAACATGCGCGTTTTGCTAAGATATGAACCACAGCACGAAAGATGTCAACGAGATATGCTAAATGAAGGATTAGTTCAAAGCATCGACAAACGAGCCGTCTATGTTCCCAATGCTGCATGCAACGAATGTAAACATACTATAATTGATTATTTATCTATCGGTCTATCTGCCTATCTATCGTACCGGGCAAGTAGGTACCCAAATGCACCACTGTCATTATGACACCTTTTGTATTAAAGCTAAGGAAACCTCCGAGAACCAGCTGTCGTTCCGTCAACATACTACCACAAACAATAAGGATACATGCCGAAACTACAGGAAAAATATTTTCAAAGAAAGCCTGTTATATAATTTAAGTTATGGTATAAGATTAGGAAGTAAGGATCGGCTTCTGTAAGCAAGAGCTAGGATATTTGGGATCCTAGTGGATCTACTTCGATTTCCTTCATCGTAAGAAAAATAAACAAGCGGATGACAGGCCTCTGACAATCATATACGCTTGAATCTATTAGACAGCGGCTATAGCATCGCGTCTCACGAAGCGAGGTGGAGCGGGCTTGCTCTCTGTTATTGCTGTTCTCGCTGGCGATTTCTGACGTTGAAAAGTTAGCTGATATGGGTAATAGTTGAGAATGTTGAACAGCTGTTCTTAGTTCTTCAGAATAAAAGAAGTATTGGATCTCTGACGAATGATCTGGCTCACTCGCTGGCTTGTTGTCGACGTCACTGCCATACACGAAGTGACACATCGCGGTTATAACTAGTAGACTAACAGTGATATAACCAGCATTTTCTTACCAAAGACAAATGATGCTATGAAGTTGAAATGCTAAAGTATGACTGATTAGTGAAGATATCAAACTATGATCATAGTAAGCAGGATAATGATGGTGATGATGACGATGTTATTGATTAATGAAGTTGTAGTGTTTGGAAGATTCTCACGGACAAATTTTTCTTTAATTTGAAAGCACGCGTTGCAGTACGTACAAACATGTATACTGACGGGACAGCATTAAACCTTTTATTTTCTATAAAAAAAAAAAACGCAATTTGGTGACGTTCGTTGTATCTCTTAGTGGGAGAGAACATTATTATCTGTAGAAGAAGAATAGGGCAATGGATTTGCTATTACCTAGGAAATAAAATTTCAAGGTTACAACACAACACTGACGCATATCAGCAGATCTTTAGAAGTGAAAACAAATTGGTCAAGGGGAATGAGTCGCGTAGGTACAGTAAACGTGAGTGGGATGAAGTGTGTGAGTGGTGCCGAAGTTAAGGACATTCTTGTGTACGCCACGAGAATCGGTGGAAATGACCAACACGGGGGCTTATAGCTCGGGTGGGCACAAACACCAACTAGGCGTAAGGGATGACGAGGGCAAAGATGTATTGCACGTCTGATACTGTACAGAGTGTCGTCGAAAGTAGTACACTTGATAGGGGGGAGCTAGTGGAATAATTTGAAGTATGGGTATTTGTGATGACTATATTCAGCCAGTTTCTTTTCAATGACGACGACGACGACGGCGGCAAAAAAGGAAGGAATGAATCTTGATGGGGGTGAAGTAGGCATTGATCGCTTCCCGGGGTCGGTCCGGTAGCAACTGCAACCAGCCTTGATATTGGCGCAAGTTACTTACCTTCTGGTTTATTCTGTCGATCTGTCGGTTCTGCGACTCAATCTCGCTTCCCATGTCGATGGCCATGTTACGCAGATTGCCGATCATAGTCGACACCTGACCCATATTTTCCTCCATCTCCTTCTCTCTATCGTCGTTTGTGATCCTGTTGAACATTATATATATATATATATATATATATTATATATATATATATATTTTTTTTTTCAATTAAGACCAGCAAAACGCAAAAAACAAAATGAAAGAAAAACGGACAGGCGCGCATGGTTCGCCGGGATATCAGCCGACCCAAAAAAACGACGCCACGTGAAGAAAAATTGAGTTAGAACATGTTCATATGCGATTTGTATTTAAAGTACGTACAAAATCATAAATTGACATAGTTACATTATATAAATAGTGACAATCATAATATTAATTAGCTCCGCCTAGAAAATTTGTCCAACATAATACATAATTTACGTTTTCTAGACCCTTTAGTACGGTGCTTTTAATACAACTATAGTGTATCACACTGAAAAAATATCCACAACTATCAAGCTGTGGACGGGATTAGAGGGCTATACCTCGTTGCTAAAAAACCATCCATTAGTAGTAATAGGACCACACCGCAATGCGCGCGCTTTTTCAAACATCCTTTATACCAGTGTCACTTTATTTTTATGCAGAGGCGCAATAGGAGAGGATCATTCGAAAGGATACACGGCACACTTTGAGGCTGGCACTACATCGCAGAGTCCCTTCTGCGCCAGATGTTTATCGACCTCTTCCGTGAAACACGACAGAATATAAAACTGCGTTCAATGTATGGTACCTTTATTTCTTATATTACTGCGTTCGTATTTGCTTGTCAAATTGCTTTTCAAGATGGCCGTATTAGAGTGTATTTTGGACGTTTAATTCAATTTTGTATCACTATAGTTAACGGGCAGGTGAAGTTGGGCCGCTCTGTCTGGTCTGCGTTAATTAATTGATAAAAAATGGAATAACTGTCAACTGCCACAAATGCAGCTACATATTGAGAGATAGGAAGGGAGAGAGCGAAATGAGCTTGTCGTCGGTTAGTGCGAATCGCTCCGTATACCCTGTCAGTGGGACGACAAGTTTATCGCATGCTTGATATTGGATAATGGCACGATAACGGATAAAGTACCATTACCAAATCTTAAAATTTAAAAATCCGCGGGGAGAGGCTGACGTTTGTAACAGAAATGAGAGGTTTAGTTTCAACTTAATGGAGTCCGCACGTTTCTTCGCACGCTCTCAAAAATTCCCGTTTGGCCGCTACTAACAATGGTTCAAACCGTGTAAATGATACTTGTTCAAAGGTGTCAATAGTTTATTGAGTTTTTTAAGTTCGTTGTTTCACCCAAAATATAATGAATAATAGCAACACAACTCAATTATCGTTTCTACTGATGTCGGAAGTTTAAGAAATTTGCCCGAAATTAGGGGGTTACAACCAACAAAGATCAAAAGAACGGTATGCTGCAAAGCTAACTAAAAAACATTAAGCCAATATTACCCTGTGTAAATTTCAGATCTATTCCAAATTATTACCTTATACGTATAAAGTAATGCGGGGTATACATATTTTTCGGCACTCAACGCAACTCGTCACTGGGATTACCCGGCACAAAGGCCTTGATACTCCGCCTTCATCCATGCTAGTTAGTTAGAAGTCTGTCTTTGTTGCATAGCTAAATTAAAACTAAATTAAAAAATAGACTAACTAATGCTGTAAATGCGTCGAAACTGACTCATAATCGGTAATAATTTAGGGCTTATTTTTGCAATAGTTATTTACAGCGTCCTCTTTAAGACGCACAACCGTAAATTACCGAATTAAAAAACCGAAATCCGTAAATAAAGTGAAAAACTATATTGTGATTGGTAACGGATAATGGCGATCAATCAATGGCTATGTTGCATATGCGTTTTACATCGTGCCCTATGCTGCTACGAATATTAGTAATCCTAATTAGAGCATAATCTAAAGGGGCAGCAACGCAATATGCTACAATCAGTGTACTACAGGAATAAATTGAGCCTATTTCAATATTGTTCGATGTTGGAAAGGTATCAACTGAAACTGCGGAGTCTGAAAACAGGCCAACAAATCAAATTCTTTCCTTCTCTTTTACCTATATAGCCCATAGGTAACGCGCATCAACTCTCTTTTTTGCTTTGTAAAAACGACTTTGTCAATAGAACCGTTGTATGCTTCTTGTTGCAGACTATGGGATGATCCTTAACGTTTCTGGACTTTCTTTCGATACCACACGCACTGCTTACTACCTATTAATAGCGTTCTTTAAATGCACTCCAGCAAAATTCAAGAAAATTAATTGGATTAAATCAATCGTACGCTAGCTTTTATGTCCGAGAGCTTTTTTCCTTTGACAAAAAGGAGGAGCATACATCGTCGCGAAGTCGTTTAAAAATTTTAATAGAGTGACGCAAATGTTCCGAATTTGAAGACGGCTCTAGACCACATGACGGGTAAGTGTAACGTCTATTTATAATTTAGATCCAATTAGCTAATAAGTATCAACCAGTAGAATGATCAATGATAAGCTGTCGAACAGAAATACTTTAGTATGATATAAAACAAAAAATAGCAGCATTATTGAAATAGATTTTTTGCATGGAAAACGCTAAACTTCTTTATGTTTATTATTTTTTCGTTAACTTGACAATGTTAGCTGAAGCATTCGTCGTAGACCATATACGACCATTCACAAATAGGTGAATATCTGCCGCAGACTTTTCGAATTCGATTGTATATTTGTAACGCCTTTCACTCGCTTACGGAACCGAACTTAGCCTGAACTACGTTGTTTAGTACTTGGTAGCTAGCTTCCACTTAGCTTCAATTATTGTAGGGAGATGTGTCACTTTCACGGATTTAGCTATACGCTTAAACGAAAAACATGAAATAGAGCTTACTTGGCGATGTATCCTGAGGTGGGCCCAGTTCCATTGCGGTCGTCCATGACGCGGGCTGGCTGGCCGTTCACCACCTTGCCGTCCTCGTTTTTGTTCCACGTGCTGGCATCCTCCTTGAACTCTTTGCCCCTGAATGATGCAGATATGATTTCGAAGTTCCTATTAAGTTTTATCCTGCACTTACTACTTTTCGATGAATAAAAATAGCTAGCATCGTTTGCTAGAGACACATTTCAATAGCAGCTGTGTTAGAGCTCAGAGAGAGCTCGTGTAAGCGACACCTAAGGCTTATATGGGTTGGCTAACACCCCCTGTCGTAAACGTGTTATTCGTTCAGTTTTTATCTGTTTCTTCGCATCATAGGCTAATGGTATATGCGTATAGTGAAAACTTGCATTTCAAGCAGGGATCTAAATATAGGAGGCAGTCTGAAAATTTACGTAGCAATTACAACATAAAACTAGCTTCTATTTCCGTAGTTTGTCGAATCTCTGTGAAGTACGAGAAGCTTGCCTGGAAGTGTAAGGAAGCGGAAAGGCGAGCGTATTACTCGTTGGTTAGCGTGGCCTTTACACATCGAGCCGGCAATTGTTCTTAAATGAGCTTCTTACACTGAAACCTTAACCCAACCTGCCTACTTTTTTCTCGTCCTGGACTCATTCTTCGAAAAGCGATGGCCTTTTTCTATGAATTCCAGTTATTCAAAACGCCAGGGAAAAGCTGCGTTTAACGTGACCCGCTGATAACATCAATAATTTCGATGTACTTCTTGGTTCGATTGGTCTGCTTCTCAGAAAAACGTACTTAGCGCTGTTCGACCACTGTAACAGGGTTACTGACTGCTCAAGTAGTCAACTCTCTCACCTATTACTTGCCTAAAAAAGCGTAACGGTCAACACATGAGTTAGCACTGTTTGTAACTGGGTTGAATCTATGGACAAAAAACGACAAAGGTTACAAAAGGCATCGTAACTAGACCAAACACTAATTGCGCAAACTTGATCACAATTGCCGGTATTGAATTACTGGTTCAGAGCCGCCGTTTCCTATTTGGATCGGTCAGTCTAGGTAGGGCACCGTGAGCACAGAGGCACAAAGGCCCAGATCGAAGAATTTCCTACCTTAGCATTATCGAAAGGACTAATAGATCGAGTCAGAAAAAAAACCGCTTTTTGTCACCATAGGAACGACTTCGTTTATCAGGCCAAAGACCCGGCCGTTGTGTAGCGCCTGTGCAGGAGAAATAATAACAGCGTTCATACGACAACAGGATTATGGCTCCTAAGGTTTATAATAGCCCAGGCAACTCGGACCATCACGACTCGCAGGAAATCTCACATGAAATGCATTATAGAACACATATTTTCACGAGTTCATTAACGGTCGCCTTAACACTATACAATGATAACTCTCTATGACTAAGTTGGGACAGGGAAGTATTGACACATTGTCACAATTAAGTTACCAAATTATCTATTCCAAGGAAGGTTAGCCTATCTTATTGCCTGTAGCTTCATTTACTGCCAGAAACCTCACCAGGGCGCCTACAATAAATAGCTAACTTTTCTCTTTAACGTTAGCAGCATTCAAAATCTAATCTATTCATTCGAACGGTAAATGCTTATGAGGCTTTCGAAATTTAGTGCCACATCTAACGGCTCACAATTCATAAGGGAATGGCTGAAAATTGAACTAATCTGTGCCCATTTCACATAGAGCTGTTTCGTATTGCCACGTTGTTATCAACCTGTCGTGGTGATAGGCTACATTAGCCAACAATGAAACTTATGGACACGTATCGTTTTAATTAATTTAGTGGGCAAACACGTCATCGGTGATAGCTTGCATTGCGGAATTTCAAACCAATCGCATCCACGGTAAGCTACGTCCCATATATACTGGACAAGCGTGAGTTTGCTAGATACACTAACAACTATGTACATACTGATAGTACGTATGCAAGCTCGTAAACGTTATCAACAGGTTCTACGAGAATTAAATGTTGAACCAGCCTAGCTTTGCCCCATACGAGATATCGAATCGATCTGAGACCACTTTTGTCAGCGTTCTACGATAAGAGGGCTAACTACAACATTTTGATATTCGGATAACTATAACAGAGCTGTACAGCGGAATAGGTTGAACTTCCATTATTTCGAGTGTTGCTTTCATATCGGATATGGAAAAATCGATATGATATATTTTAGCTTCATAGTAAACATAGTGCATTTTAGTAGATGTTTAAAATTTAACAAAACCGACGTTACTTATTATGCGTATTTAATTATTGTGTGTTTATTTCATTTAATAATCACCGTCATTCTTACAGTCACCATCATCGTGATCGTGAAAGCTACAGTACGAACGTGAAGGGGCTTGTTCCCGCAGGCAGCGTGAGTTCGAACTACCGGGAGCTCACTTCAGGTACTGCTCGTTTTATCTCTGAATCGTGCGGTGCCTCTGCCCTCCTTGCAGCCTTACCCTGTCTGAGAATAGCAGTTTACGCCAATGTAAAGACTACGCAGCGCTCTCAAAAAAAGTAGCGAACGTGAAGCATCCCAACGAGCCCCTCCCCCTTTTCTTGTCCCAAAGGATCCTACGCTTTTCTAGTTCCTCTTAAGTATAAAAGATTAAGCGAGAGTTGGATACTGGTAATAACATCGCCCCTCCGTTGGTCCTGATTCTCCAGACAACAAGTAGCAGCCAACGAGTTAGCCACCTACCCAGACCGACAGACAAATGGACATTTTAGGTCCTCGCAAAGCTGGCCAAGGGCAAACCGGACTGGGGCTTAGGAAAGGGCGAGTGCGTTGGCAATGGCAGCGGACATAATAGCCACACTAGTTGTGGCAGCAGTGCACGGGTAGAGGGAGGGGAAAAGGGTTAAGGCAAAGGAGCAGGAATAGTGGATACAGGCTGGTGTGGAATAGCCACGCCTCTGAATCCCCTCAGGGCCATCTGACTACAGCTAGCGCCAACCCGACAATAATGATCCCCCAGGCGGATGCTCAAGCTGCCAGTCTGTGCCTTTGTCTACAGCTGTTTGAAGGTGCTGTAGTCGATATTTGCTGTTTTTATCTGACAGTCTACTGTGTATGTCGAGAATCCAGTCGACTCCTCGACCTATTAAACAACACATACAAACAGGCGTCCATAGGAAACGGTTCGTTTCATCTACATGCCAACCATCTGCAATCGGTTACTGTCAAATAATAACAGCAGGAGTAAATGCGCGAACTTCGCACAATTTTCTTCTGGTATAACAAACATATTCCATGGTCGAAATTTACCATGATGATTGGTTAACCCTTTACTATAAAGTAACCTATATTTAAAAGTATCACTACGCTATTTTCGGTCATTGTTGCAATAAACACGTCTGCTAGTACGGTGTCAAGTCTGCAAAACTTTAACATCTGACCAGCAGAAAGAATATTGTCATGGTACTAAACGAAGGCTTATATGTGAGCTCTTTCGAACCGTGGCCTCGCGGCTGATAGCAGAACAGGAGTCTGTACGTTATCGTCTGCTTCGGTTGCCAACTTTAAGCGAGCGAGAAAGTATTTAAAATTTGCGACATTTTGCGTCTAAAAGCATAATTTACAAAGTCGTCACACGGACATGATTCGTTATGTCGTCTAGAGACGCCTGGACCTTAAATGGGGACGCAACGTACTCCAATGCAAGAGCATTTTTTGGGATTTACAAACGCGTACAGGCCTTCACCTTTTCGGATCTGCGCACAATTCTACGACACGTTAGATTGTGCTTTTTGTAGAATAAACGAGTCTTGAACGCTTACCGAGCCTCTGTGTTGTCCATGGAGGATTCGAACCAGTATTAAGCTAGGCAAGCCCGAGCAGACGTTTATACGGCAAGCTGTATACATTCATTGCCTAGGCTTTGAGTAGTTAACAAGTGGTACATTCAGTGGCGGCACCACTACTTCCACAGTCTTTGTTTAACGGTCCAGGACGGCTCTTAGCCTCGCGGTTTAGTCGAGCGGTTCATCCGAACTAATTAACTAGTTTCTCGGCAACTCTGCACCAACGACACGCTAATATAGGCAGAAAATACAACTTATTCGCTTTGCACCTTATTTTTACATGGCAGTAGCGACACACATATATATATAGTTATATCGAATGCACACAACTTGTTCCATATGATCCATGTCTATGTTAGTTTAGTTGTTTGAAAGAATTTTTGCTGGCTAGTACGGCGAAAGTTTCATAGATAATAATAGTTCGTATGGATAAACCATATTAAGCTGATTAGAAGCATTGTGTCAGGTTTTTTTCTATCTGTGTAACTTAAACTCTCGAGGGGTTCGCGGTCTCCTAACTAAGTACGTTCCCATGTAGGTAAGCCAGAACTAAAAGGAAGACGCAGATGTAGATAAAGCTTTTACGCGGAACGAAAATTTCTGTGTCATAATAGAAAGTCCTTGTCAAAAGTGAACCGACTTTAGCAGTGGTGCTAGCTATTGAACAGCGACAGCGTTAAGGCTATGATGTAACGAAGCTTTTTGAAAGGAGCGTACTTGTTGACCTCCTAGCCCAACATCGAGAGGCACAAAAGCGCCCGAGTACTACCACTATCGACAGGAACAAAGGTGGTTGCGTAGCTCGAATGTGATTCCCGAACAGCCAATAAAAATAAGCTGTACTTATTAGAGTCAAATTATCACACATGCGTTTAGGGGATGGATTCAACTAGATCACGCAACCAAACGGGTACTCTTAGGGTCGGTCACAATGCTGTCGGTCTTCGCGAGTAGGACTGACGTAAGAGTTCCTTAAAGAAGACTTACGATACATCATGAAAAAGGCGTACATTTCATTTGAGATGTTCATAATTTAGATATATGTAAACGTATGCGTAGGTATATGTGTCTACCCAATAAATTAAAGTTGGCTTGTAACTGCAGCTTGTTACATTTGATACGCAGAAAAGTCTACGTTCACTAAATAAACAAAGCAAAGACGCCCATTGACAGGCGTTCGCCGGAGTATGAGGCACAGTGTGACCGTCACAATATGGCGTGACAACTAACGACATCAGCAGAGCTTCTCTGAAGTACGCCAACTTGAAGTGAGAAATCGTAATGAGCTGTCCACTCTGTACAATGCGTACGTACTTGTGTAAACTGACCTGACGATCTTCGATACGGCGTACGGCCGTGCACTGAAAAACAAGATAAGACTGCCAAAGAGAATGAACACAATAACGAATGTGACTTACTAACAACGTCGTCATAGCAACAGAAGCCGTCGGCAAGTGACGGGATTGTTGAAAGCACAATCTGGATGAGCTATATAATAGAACGACCATTCAGCCGATCATCCACTGTTCGGGTAGATTACGTAATAGAGCTCTATGTAAAGACCGGTAAATAGCGATCATCCGATGATCGGGTTACAATTCACACCGTTCAACTTCATCTACATTGACAGATCATTGAAAAAAATATCATGAAATCTAAAAAATCAATCAAAACTTGGTGTAATAATCACCATTCTAAGCTATCTGGCCGCTCCGCTTGTTCAACGTACACAAATCGCTTACAAGAAAAAGCCGAAAATACTAATAATAGAAGCTACTATATCTTTGCAGCATCTTGAGTCTTTTTGTGACCTTACGTTTGAAATAACGGCATAAATCCAAGTTATAACAAAAATGTAGTTTATACATCTAACAGATAACGGTACTAATAGTTCGAATTACTCAAAAACCTAACCAAATAAAGCAAATGATACATCTACATGCGTTTAATTGGAAAATAGAGGTGCACGAATTGAGGCTGCGTCATCAGAATCGATCAAAAGGTAACCTTGTAGTTTTTCAACTACAAGGTTACCTTTTGTTCCTCTTTTGTGGATTCATACATCTATTGAAATTGGTTTAACATCAAACTCTTAACTCGTCAGCTTTTTTTGGCAAACGCTACGTAGAAGATTCGATCCGTATCTTCTCGATTTGCCATCACCAGTGCGGTGGAAATACGTGCAATTATTTCCCTTACGCTCTGGTTATCTTCTGTTCGCGTCGATTACGTCAGTAACGTCTACGCACGGGGGGAGTTGAGGGAAAAAGCTTACTTGTCTTCGGGGACTTTTGAGACTAGAAGTATGGCAAAACGGTGTACGTAATTAACATATGAATTGACGGCTTCGTGGAATCCGCGCCCGTTTGCACGTAGTAGAGTGTACACGAGATGATGAAGGAGATAGCTGATGGTAGTATCGAGAAGGCTGGCATTTCGAACCGTTCAGTGTAGGCACGCTATCAGCTATTATATGGGCACTAACTTGTCAAATGGCCAACTCACTATTTTGGCATAACTTTGGGACATTTGTCCTCTTCCGTCCTCAGCGGATCGCCCATAAAAAGAACTGTGCTAGATTACGGAAAATTAATAATTATATGTTTTTAACACGACAGCTGAACGACACAAATTTAAAAGTTTAAAAATAGAAGATGTTGTTTCGCTAGCCTCTTTTTGGTTAGCGATCAAAGTGGAGAGTGAGAATTAATTTAAAGGAACATCGAGCGTACTCTTTTTTCAGGTCAGCGCTAAGAATGCTCAGGACATATGCCCTCGTAGTACAGATAAAAAACATCAGGTAGAAGAGATACGGTCAGTAACCCTTGCAAGTATTTGACTGTTATAGATTTGCTAGATGTTTTCCGCTGTATATCATATTCATTGCAGTTACGGAGAACATAGGTATTCGAGTTGTTGTCCTATGTTTTGGTTGTCTTTTCACCTGTTTTAAAGGTCTAGTGATTTTAATCCATTACTAGTCTTAATAGCATGCGGCTAGCCGTATGTGCCCATCAAGGTATACCTATCCATTTTTCATCTTCGACACGGACCATAAAGCCATAAGTATAATTATATGCAACTTACATCTGAAGCAATTATTCTTCGCAGGCAATTAATTTTCGTCATAATTAAACTATTTGTGCCTTTGTAAATTAGAAAGACAAAATTAAAGAATCGATGCATAAAACCCTCTTACTAACTCCTTTGGTATAGCAGCAGGTCAGTCTTTTTTTGTTGAATCCATACGATCCACGATGCTGATACCATTACTTTTGACCAACGCTTACCATCTAAGGAAGGTGCCTAACAATCATGGGCCTTTCGTAGCTGATATCCTTATTTCACCCGCGGTGCATAACTGCCAGGTGCATAGAGAACTCTGTAAGTTTGGTAGGAAAAATAACTTCAGCGTCATACCAAATTTATTCACGACGGTTAGAGCCACTTTTTTCGACGTCCGTCCATTCGTCTCTGCCATTTTTTATTCTTTGCCCTAATTCCATATGGGACTCTTGCGTAGCAGTCAACATGGTGTACCTTTCTTGGGTGAACTTTCGTATCCCTTAGTCCAGCACATCACCCGCGTAACCCCGATACTGTTTAAAGCGAGCATTTTTTGACATGATCATTCAAGCTACTCGGTGTTCAGATCGAGGACATATCTGTCTGAATGAAGTTTGTGCCTAGAAAATGTAGCTCTCTTGCTATAATGGTGTATATCTATTAAATTTATCAATTGAAAATTGCTATAATCACACTGCTACAATTGTCATACGTAAGACGGATACACGTGATTCGATATTATCTTAGTGAAACGTCAAAGCTCTGGGCTTAACGATTTTCGACTGTATTCATTTACCCTCCTAGAGTCAAGGATTAATGACAACTTCGTTCGTTATCAAAAAAAAATAGAAAAGTGTCCCATGGACATACTTGGCTCTATGCCTCTCTTTAACCTCTAGGTAAAATATTCACTTGTCGAAAAAACATTCACTGTTTTAAGCTAAATCTGACTTAAAAAAAATTTATTAAATTATTTTATTAAATGTTATTAAAAAAATATATTTTTCTTAATAACAATAATACTACTGAACCAAATTTGAAGCATTTTGATCGCCAATCCTTTGCGATTTTTTTTAAAACACCACAATCCCGTGACTGTAGATTTTTTGTCGATTTTGGGTGAAAAATTGTGACAAGTCATTTTTGCATCCCTCCATTGAACTCTATACCAAGGAACTTCTGCAGAGACCGAAACAGATCCTTGTCTGAACGTATGCATTAAGTTTTTCCATCCAAGTTCTTTAAACTATTACAGGATAACTAGAGATGTATATGATATGAGATTTCGCTGCTGCAGGTGGAGATGCTGAAGGACGACTAGTTTTTCGTTTCATTAGTTACAGTCAGTGTTTTTCAATTACTAAAGGTTTAAGTTGAAGACGACAGCAACAAACAATGCACGGTTCCTTTTCAACTCCAGCAAGCACAGAGCATCGCTTTCCTTGGCGTAATTGCAACCACAGATCGTAAAGCACTTTACTATCCGTAATCAACCGTCCTGGAAATAACCAGATCCTGTTTCTGTTCTATGGGATTTTGCAGATGGAAGTACGATCGGGTAAACTTTTTTGCATCGATTCGTATAACACTCAAACATCAAGCCTCTTTTTTTGTAGCGAGCTGTCCTCACGTGGGCTTGCATTGTTCAGTGGTGGTTGCTTAGTATCTTAACGATATCATGGTTGCTTACGTGTTACTCTTGTTCAACTTTTGCGATAAGAACATCAATTTTTACGTAATAGATCGACCATTACGAATATCCTTAGCATTGAAGTTACTTGAACTAAAGCAACAGAACCACCTTTAGGGCGTTACTTTAATCGCGCATCTTGACCTCTTTTAGGCTTGAGCGGCACCTGTGCCTTTATCATAGTAAAGTTAGAGAATATGGTGAATTTGCGCAGAAATTTAGCGTGTCTTTAAGGCACTCTGTCTTGAATCCGAAAAGAGACATTCGAACAGTTCGAGCATACCTACTGCTGTCAAAACTCAGCTTTCAAAAAAAAAAATACGTGACATTATCCCTGACCGTCCCCAGCTAGAAAAATGGTTAATACTTTTTCGACGAGTCAATATATCTGCGCTTTGATTTCGTCTGCATGATCATTCGTCTAGACCTGGCGTAACAGTAATACGTCGCGAGTGAAACGCCTGCTTCTGATTTACTCACTTTTGACAAGGACAGACACAGATACCGCAGCATTTTTCCATTCCAGTCAAGTTCTTCTCGGCTTCCTTCATGTCGGCGTTGATCTTGTCCATATCCTCCTCGATCCGGTCGAGTTGTTCTGAAAGTCGACAGAAGCGGAAACGTTCAAACGAAAAGATTTACACGACTGGTCAAAATCGAAGGCTATATTACGCTTTGTTCCAATAGCAATAATTGAAAAACAAAAGAATAGGCTTAGAAAGCACCATCAGGAGACCCTGAGATATAAAGTATAATAATTATATTTTCGTCTATAAGGAGATATTTATTTGCACTTAATGACATACGATGTCAACCGCACTTCCTGATGAATGAGGATACGAATTCATTGAACGGCTACCCCAGTTATGTCACTTGAATGAAATTAGACGAAATTTTTTAGCATTTTTACCGTAGAAACCTAAACAACTCTGTTGGCAGTTGTGTGTTTTAACAGTGGCGACTATTCTTGGCTGGTTCATAACTAGCATTCTATTTTCCGACCGCAAAAAGGCTCTTGCCAGCAGCGCAGTCGCTGTGCGGGGTCCCGGCTGAACCCATTTGTGCGCTCATAGAAGAGAGCTCTGGTCGTTCAAGAAGCAAGGGCCTATTTTTTCTACTTGCTAAAAGCTTGGTAAAAAAAAAAAGTAATGACAGCCCTTCTTCTGTAGTTGTACCTTCTAAAATTAAAACGAATATTCGGAAGCATTATTTTTGAAGTAAAAGATAAGAAAATGCTGGAGGTAAAAGGAACAGGTAATTATCTAGGAAGAAACTGAAACACCTAAGGATGGCTCTCATTAAGATTAGGGTTGCTTATGCATTACGAATGTGTTTGGGCACCTTTTCTATGGTCGGCTAAAAGATCAGCGGTATCAAAGGCAGGACTGTCAAGCTTCGATGTCGGCCTTTGACCTAACTTTTAGACTGGCCTTTCCTTTTTTTCACTGTTATTGATGAACAATAAACTTTTTTTTGTTTTTTTTTTTTATAGAATTATGCTTAATTATTATTATATTTAGAATGACACGATACGGGTATCCGTAGGTGTATAACAGATGCAAATAATTCCCGAATAGGTTCGCCATAGGATTTCTGCATGTTTTCTTTTTCCGAAAATCAGCTCTTCACGTCCACACGACATACAGATTGCATCCATCAATCGCTTATAAACCGACCATTCATTATTGTCAATATTTACATTTCGACCAATTGACTCCTACAGGCTCATTTGTTTATTTTGCTCTGAGTGTCTGAGTGCTGGTGCACCAAAGTAGACGCCCCAACCAATTCCATAGTTATAATGCAGAGGTCAGAGAAGGATTCTAAAGGACTTCAGCAGCATCCACTTACCTACGCAGGTGGCCATAAAAGGCTTGAGCAGAAAGAAGATTTGGTAATGCGAAGGTGAGCATTACTTCCGGTTAATAGATATTGTTTCCTTCTTCGGTATCGCGACTGGAATCATTGGATGGACTTTCAATTGTGCTTCGTAATAGTGGCTTGAAATAAGCACCACAAGCGTTCCGTTTCTATATAATAAGTAGTGAGAGACAAATTGCACAATGAAATCTTCATTGAAATTAAGAAAAAAAAAAAGTCGTCCTTAGCGTGTTGCTGCGCAAAGGACATTGCAGGCTCAACATGAGCGAGCAAGTCGTAAAAAAATCTTGCAGCATGAAACTGTGGGTAAGGGTTATTCTGCTTTCACAAGCGTTTGCCACATGAAGGCCCTTCAACGACAACGGTGGTTGCTCCCCAGTGATCGGTAATATAGGAAACAAAAACATACGGCTTCCCGAAGACTAGGCGGTGAAGAATTTTCACAAAGTTCAATATAAATATCATTAAATGTACTTGGCAGTAACGCACGCGAAAGCGCTCAGACTCAGTCCGTTTACGCAGTACTTTAATTAAAGTGGTATATTTTAAGTCACTTTCGTGTATTTGTGATTGCAAGGAAAAAACACATGTGGAAAATTCGATTTAGTCGGATTGTGGCTACGAAGTAATCCCAAGACTATTGACGCTTCAGTAAATGTTAGAGCTGTTTTAAGCAATTGCTTCGATGAAGGAATGCTTTGCTCTATATCAGCTGGCTGCTTAAGTCTGTTTTGTGACAAGCGGCAAAAGCCTAGGAACACAGGACAAGGACTGTTGGTGGGGAATAAGAGTTTTGTCTTTAGAGGACAAAACAAAGAAGCTACTCGGTCGAATAAAACTGGTAATTTCGCTCTTTTTTTTGCAAGAGTCCACTCTATACGAGCATGAACAACGTATACATTTTGTAGCCCTTACCAATCTCATCTTTACTCGATTTAGGGATAAATGAATGTTAGATATGCGTGCGTGTGCATATATCTTGAATAAAAACCTGCTTCTTAAGTATAGTCTGACTTCCATCCAGTTGACTTCGAATCTTAAAAATAAAGCGAATACGGAGAAGAAGGACAAGGAAGGATATAGTAATATTAAATAATATAATGAAGCGGCCGTAGCAAGACGAGCACACACTGTTTTTTTGTGCGCACGACCTCGCACAGGCTGACCATTAAGTGGTCGATATTCAATACATTACATTAAGTCAAATCCAATAAAAATGGGAAATATAAGTTCCTCGCTGCTACTGCTTCATATATATATATATATATATATATATATATATATAACACTATGGCGTAGTCCGCGTGTGCTACCCTTTGCTTTCGGCTTCCTTCGGCGCTTAAGCTAAAGCCCCCAAAACATTTACCCCTATTCTATATCCTCCGCCAGAGTCTTATGAAAAAACCTGCGTCTAACCATTTGTATGTTTTCCGTGTATCGTAAATTCAGATTATCGTTTTACCCCTATCGTGGTAATTGCCATTACTGCAGCTGACAATGCAGGCACCTTCACTACATAGACTCCTGGCACGTAGCGGGAACGCCAACTAGGAAAAGCCTAGCTAAAGCACGTTTTTCTGTGCAAAGCAGGCAAAACCTATACTTTCCACGTTTAGTAAAAACACATACATACCGCTGTTGACCTGAGAGATGGAAACTAAAGTGGTTTCGCCATTGAGACAAGTGAAATAAGAGAAATGTTCGTCAGGGAAATAGCGACATCCGTTGCGGCGGCGACGCAGAAAGCGACGGATATAATCAGCGAAATTACATAGTGCTTATGAGGGGCCATTTGCTAGATGGAAGTCGGTCATGCTAATTACTTATGGTAATCACAACTGTCTCTGCAGAAATGAACGCATGTTGTATAGTTCTAGGTAGAACGTAGTTGAAAATAAACTTAGACACATATAAAAGCGAAAAAAACAGGTTGTCAGCTAAATAGAGTTCAGACTATAGAAGAGGCAGGCACAACTGCACAGCTAGCGGCAAACAAGTCGCATAAGGCGCAAGAGAAGTTCACTGCATCGACAAGTTAAGACAGGTTGCAAGCCTAGCCTGACGCTAGAGCTACACCTAGTTTTTGTATAAACTACAAAAGCAGTGTTATAATTTATTGTGATACCTTAATCCCATCGGGCGAGGTGGGTAAAATAGAAATACAAAAAAAATTATAATTTAAGGTACGGGTATTAAGCTGTAATCCAGCTAACTTTCACTCTGAATATCATCTTTGAAATTGAGCTTCTTTTTATCGTCTGGAATTAGCTAGACGATATTTATCGTTCCCATCATATACACGACAAATGCTCCACGATTTGACACTCTGACACTCGGCATTGTTTCCACAGCAAAGATCTCCGTAGGCTCCTTTACAGACGTGGACAAAGACGAGCGACTCGTGATTACTAACGACCACGACGAATATACGCCGGTGTCTGTCGAGCAAGGCCCTTTTTTACGTGCAACTGCTCTGCTAAATGAAGCTGCCAGAAAATCAGAAGAAAACGTGACTTCATCGTTAATGAGCGACCATCGTGGGCATACCATACTGCCCCATGTCAAAGCGATTTAGAAAGAATAACATAAACAGCTCAAAAAGCACCGGTAAGTTCAGGTGAGGCAAAATAACAGATAGCTCCTCGCGTTAGCACGAATGAAGCCGGACAGACAGAAATAACGCTGCCTTTGACGTAACAGACGCACAGTCAAACTAGATGCTTCTTATTGGCAGCGTTCAACACACAAAGGCCCTAGGACAAATAATTTCGTACTTTATACTCACATACTGTTTACATAGATGTAAATATGATGCCCTACAGATAGGCAGATTCGACCAGATATCATGTCTTAGATAAGGGATTCGTCTTATTAGGAGAAAGGAGGATACCTTGAACCGCGATAAGAGTATAAAACTATAAACGAAAGCTGTAGACACGAAAATGGTCATAGGCGTATGTATGCACTTGCTAACTCAATTTCTGTACAGCTAATGTTAAAATCGGGAGAGAAACAATGATGGATAAATCTGGATAGCAAAGGCAATGGCTCCATTTCAGAATAAAGAACTTAAAGAGTGGAACAATTGATGATGATTATTTGACGAAAACATAGGGAATGTAGGTATACGTATAGGCGTGATGGGTCATAAATAGATTCACCGGTTATCTTACAATTACCAAGTCTGGACTAACTGAGCGTTAACCTATCAGAAAGTAACGAAAATAAGAAAATTTCAAGTCCATCAACGAGTACTAGATGCTTGCGTCCTCGCGGAACGTCAGGGGACTTTCGAGACTGCCTTACTTAACGCGTGTCTAATGGTTGTCAATACCCCAAAAATAACTTACATGCATAGCTAAAACCCGTAACTTTTACACTGGCTAAATATTCCTTACCATTGTAATGGCAAAAAAATAGCGACGTACAACCTCTGTCTCTATCGCTAGACCTAGGCTTTATTTTTTGTACGAAGATCCCTTAATAGAGCTCGTGTACCTGCAACGGTAGATTTCAACTATCAAAAATTACGTTGACACTTATATATGATATAAAAAATAGAATCACCTTAGTTTATTTAGGATGACCAAAATATAATTTATTTTCTTAATTGAACATGCAAGACGTAACGTCAACGTCATTATAGTACTGGATTAAACATTGGACAAGTATATCAGATGTAGACAATAGACTAGATCTCTGTTTGATAGTTCTTGA